AAAATACAGAAAAAAAAATCAATGCAGTCTTTACTGCCAGTAGAACTCTCCCCAGCCTGGACTTTACAGGCAGGATTTCTATCAACCTTCTGGTCTTCTGAGCTCTGACCAGAATCTCCCATACAGAACAGTGAAAGCTGTTCTCAAGCTTCTCTTGTAGGTAACAGCTCCGAGCCTTTTCTATCCCTTCCCACAAGCCATTACCAAAGGCTTGTAATCTACACGGTCAGGTTTAGCCACAGCAATGACCCCACTCCTGGTACCAAATTCCGTCTCAGTTCTTTTTCTCTCGTTGCTGGGACAAATACCCAACACACAAAATGAAGGAGGAAAAGGTGTATTTAGCTCACAGTGACTGGAGGGTTTAGTCTATACTCAGCTGGCTCCAAGGCATAATGTCACATGGCAGAGAGCAACCTTCCATAGCAGGGGCAGAAAACAGCAATATAGAGAAGCAGCAGCGACGATGGCTTCAGAAAGCAAGTCTTGGGGCTGGGGAGACGGCTCAGTGAAATAAACGCTTCCCTGGCAAGCGCAAGGGCCTGAGTTCAATCCCTGGTTCCACCAAAAAAAAAAAAAAAAGAAAGAAAGAAAGTCTGTCTCTTACGTCACATTCAGGCTCTCTGCCCCAGGCTGGGTGTAGTGCTCAAACCCATAATCCCATCCCTGGATCATGAATTGATCACGAACTGTAGAGCTGCACCTCAATGACTGCAGGAGGCTTTGGGAGGACAAATACACACAAACCATAGCACCTTTGGAGAGGGCGAGTCCAGGCAGTGTCCCTGCTCACCTCCCTGCTGAGCTCACCTCACCATGAAATACTGAACCTTTCTTCTCTTTGGGGGCTGGAGAGATGGCTCAGTGGTCTAAAGCACCTACTTGGAACAAGCTTGGCAAAGCACAGGGACCGCGGTTCAATCCCCCAGAACCACATGCCAGCCAGCTCCGTCCCCTGGTGGACTGAGCTGGCCACACACACACACACACACACACACACACTAAATAAATGTTTAAAAAAAAAAAAAGATTAGGCCGAGGAGATAGCTCAGTAGAGTAAGTGCTTGCCTGGCAAGAACAAGGTCCTGAGTTCAATCCCCGGTACCAGAAAAAAAAAAATCAAATCCTTTCTTCTCCTTTTCCGGTACAGGACCCCAGGGGATGCCTGCCCGACAGCGAGGCGGGGGAGAGGGCTCCTGCCGAGGACGACTTTCTGAAAGTGCTGTGTGTTAAGTCCAAACTGAGAACTACACTGACCTGGGGCGTCCTGTGTGGACACGGATGTGTCAGGAATGAGTGGAGGGAAGCGCCAGGGCTGTCCCAGCTGAAAGTACCATCATCCTGTGCTGCTTCTACACGTTCATGCAACACTGAGACGGTGACTGAGACGGAGTCTGTATAGACCACATGTTCAGAGGTGACTCCCCGAAGAAGGGTCTGCAGGGTCACGACAGGTAGGAATATAAAGTGTCTCTGAGTAGGGAGGAGGTAAGGGGAGGCAGAAGAAAAACCAAGAGCGGGGCTTGCGAGCGGGAGGCCAAATCAGCAGTGACAACAGCGACCTCCTGAACTCACACTGTTCTCTGGGTGACAAGCACAGAAGAACCGTGTGCTGCCCTGAGAGGGGGTCCGAGGCCCCAGGGCGACAGCAGGCAGGGGAACTGGTGACAGATGCTGTGAACGTGTCCTCTGTTGTCACTGATGAGGTCCCCTAGTCAAGTGTGAGGCCAAACGGAAAGCAGGAGTGCGGGCTTGGACAGTCATAACAGTGCGGCAGTGTCGCAGAAGGGACGGCCAAGGTGGGGCGCAGGCCCTCCTCCTTCTAACCCGCCTCCAGCCCCGAGTTACACCTTCAGTACTGAAGAAAACCAAAGCATGTTTTAGAGGGACTCCTTCAGCTCTGTTACGCATTTACTTGCGTCCCTGTGGAGCCAGCCAGGGCCGCTAGCGCAAGGAAGCCGCGATCTGAGCGCAGCTGTGCTGCGCGGGGCTCTGATGTCCCGCTGGGGCCAGGCAGGCCTGCTGGCCCAAAGACAGCGGCGGGTCGGGTTACTAAAGGCAGCAAGAACTTTCCAGAAAGGCGAGTACGGAGTTTATCCAACCACAAGACGGCAGTCACGGCCTGAGACTACGAGGCCCTTCCCAGAGTGCATGCACAGTCCTCTAAGTTTGCCTGCGCTGCGGCTGAGCTGTTCTCCCCTGCAGCTAACCGTAAGCCCACTAAGGAGAAGCAGAGCCACGAGACAGGAGCAAATGCACCAAGCTGGAGAGAACACAAATGTTAAAGTGCAAGGTCCTGGCCGGGGAGATGGCTCAGTGGAACAAGCGCTGGCCTGGCGAGCACAAGGGCCTGAGGTCAATCCCCGGTTCCGCCAACAAAACGAAACAAAACAGCAAGGTCCACGTGACCCAGAACTAACCCTGGCTTCTACAAGGCTTTTTTCCTACATTTGGTCTCTCATGAGTGAATTTTTTTTTTTTTTTTCAGAACCAGGGATTGAACTCAGGCCCTTGCGCTTGCCGGGGGAGCGCTTATTCCACTGAGCCAACTCCCCTGCCCCTCCATGAGTGTTTTCTTGCTGAACTTGGGCCATAGTGGGTTATAACATTTGTCAGAAACCGCATTTATCAGAACTGCAAGTGCTGAGAAATGGAACCTGCTGAACATATGAGGTGGGAAGAGGGAGCTCACCCCGAGCTTGGCCCGTTGAAGCGACCACGTGCACCGCCCTAGGATGTCCCGCAGCGCCTGCTTATCCCGGGACAGCAGCCCGGAGTCCCTGCCCTGTGGGGAGCTGGACCCCAGCGTGCACAGCGCACTGCACCCCGAGAGGTTCACAGACACCGAGTACGTGACTGTCTGTCTCTGTGCTGCGTAAATATCCCAGGGTAGCTACAGATGGTGAGCACCTGCCCCCAAATCCTGAGAATAACGTTGGATGAATCAAGTGCCCTCTGTGCTTTTTTATTTTTATTTTGTCTTACTTTTTGATCTTTTTGGGGGGCTGGGGAGATGGCTCAGTAGAATAAGAGCCTGCCTGGCAAGTGTAAGGGTCTGAGTTCAAGCCCCGGTTCTGCAAAAAAATAAAAAAAAAAAAATTACTTTTTTCCTTTGGTCTTTTTGCAACAGCTGTAGGCTGGCCTTGCGCTCACTTTGTTTTTCTTTTGTTTAATCTCAAGCTTTTTTTTTTTTTTTTTTTTTTTTTTGTGGTACTTTTTTTTGTACAGGGTCTCCAGGGTCTCACTATATCGGACTCGTAGTGATTGTCCTGTTCCTGGAGGAAAACCGAGTGACTTGTAGATCTCATGAAGCAGCCCCAGGCAAGGGAGTTGTCCCTCTCAGGCCGCCCTTACCCCATGGCCGAGT